GAGGGCCTCAGAGGGCCTCACGCCCCATTAAGGAAGTTAGTTGGGCCGTGGCCTGCAGGTGATGGAGCCATTGAAGGAAGTTGAGCAGCTGGGTGAAATGATCAGATTGAGGTTTTATATGGATCATTCTGGAAGCAGAGTAGAAGGATAAATTTTGAAACTACTATGAAAAATTTCTAGATAGAAATTTAATTATTCATGTTTTTAATTTGTTCTCTCAATAGAATTATTTTAAGGTATAAACAGGGAAACAAAAAAAACACCATTCAGATGTCAGTAAATGAAATTATGTGAGTATAGATGGGGTGGGCCCACTTATTTTTATTTAAGCCATTTAAAAGAGCAATTATTGCATTATCTTCTGCATTAGATTAAAGTTAATAGGTTAAAGTTAGTAGATTAAGAAGTGCAGTCTGTAATTAAGCAAGAACCAACTTTGAAAGCCCAGTTTTTTTTATAATATGGTCAGTAATCATTTTAGAAAAGATTATGCTTTCAGTCTGTAAGAGTTGGAACGCATGAAAATATGAAATCAATATCTCTGTTCTTTTCAATGATTTTCATTAATGAAGACAAAAGATTTGTTGTGTGCGTTTCTTATTTTTACAAAATATTTTACACATATTTGATTTTATTTATCTACTGACTGGATTATAATACAGTTGTTGAAAATTAAATATTTAAATTAACATCCTCTTTTCAATTTAAGGTTACAAATAAAAATTATGTCAAATTCCTCTCTGGCTGGCAGCAGGAGAATAAACCACACGTCCTTCTGTTTGACCAAATGCCTGTTGTACCCCTGCTGTACAAGGTACTGTATGTGCTGGGAAATGTTTTCTCTTATTTTGGTGGAAATAACTTGTAGCCTGGTTGTCCTTTTTATAAGTAAAAGCTTAACCCATGAGAAATGTTTGAAGACCAGAAATTTGCTTTAACCACCGTACATTGAGCACCTAGTGATACTATTTCTCTGCCGGTGCTTTCCACACATATGTCATTTAATCTTCAGAAGAGCCCAGTCATACGGGTACTATCCCTATTTTATAGACCGAGATACTGACACTGTTGTGTAACCAGCCCAGGGTCTCCCTGCGGTATGGGGAATGTTGATTTCTGATACCCTGTTCCACATTTCCAGCACAACCACGGTGACATGAGATGGCAGAGGACAGTGTCCTGCATGATCACTGCTATCTTGCGTAATCGGGGTTCAGGTTATTCCTCAAACACTCCATGCCTCCCACCCAGTACAGATCTCAGTGAGATGAATATTTTGTTCTATCTGAAAAAAAGAATTACTTGTGTTTCGCATTGTTGGTGCAGTTTTCATGCACGGAACACCATAGAATTCCTAAGGGTACAGGAGTGTAGCAGCCCAGGTGGGGCTGTGCAGTAAGCTTGCATTCCTCTCTACCCACTGATGGGAACAAGCCACACTGGATTTGTAATTTGGATGCTGTGCTATCGACTTCATTTCCTCCTCCCTACTATGCCCTAACAGTTGACCGCTTTTGCATACAAAGATTATTTGTCATTCGGATATGTCTGTGTGAGTTTGAGAGGGGCGGAAGAGATGACGAGGCAGTTCAACGTCAATGTCTATGCCCCCACCATGCTGGTCTTTAAAGAACACGTCAACAAGCCTGCAGATGCTATCCAGGTACGTGAGGTCACCCGGTTTCAAGATTGTCCTCATGCTTTATCTTGGGCCTTCATGTAAATACCACACAGCACAATGGAGCAGAGCAGGTGAGGAGGAAAAACTAGTTTTTAATTTCTTCCTTCAGAGGCACAGAATTTAAGAACAAGTTTGTTTTTCATCTGATTTGGTACTATTTTGCTTAAAAAATAACCTTTTGACAGAAAGTAGAATGGTGGTTGCCAGGGGCCGGGGAGGAGGAAAAGGGAGCTAGTGTTTAATGGGTGCATTTTCAGTCTGGGAAGATAAAAAGGTTCTGGAAGTGGATGGTGACGGTTGCAGAACAATATAAACGTGACTTAATGCCACAGAATTATACACTTGAAAATGGTTAAAATGATAGATTTCATGTTATGTATATTTTACCACGAAAATAAAATAATAATAATAATAATTTTTACCTCTAAAGTACCCCTGTTGGAAAGTCAATAATCTTATTCTAAAAATAAATTACAAAAAGAATTTTGAGTTAAATATAAAACAGTAATAAAAAGGAATTTAAAAACTGTGAGGACATATGAATGAGTATCTCAAGATAGGAAAGAGCTAAAATTGTTGGGAAAAAATCTTGTTGGAAATCTTAATAACTTGATTACAAGTTTTAAATTTTTATATAAATACTTAAAATTTTTAAGTTAATAAGCTAGGGAAATATTTATAGCTGATATAAAGGAGATTGTTATCTTCAATTTCTAATGAGCTTCTTCTAATCAAAGAGATCAAACCAGAACCTCCCACGAGTGACCACTAAATAGGCACAGATTTTTCTTTTGGGGGTGTTAAAAACATTTTGGAACTAGGTAGAAGTGATGGTTACACAGCGTTGTGAAGGTACTAAATGCCACTGAAGCATACACTTTAAAATGGTTCATTTTACATTATATAAATTTCACCTCAATAAAAAAAAAATTTAAATAAAACATCCCCCCAAATAGGCTAAGAATATGAACAAAATTCTGAGAAGAGATTCAAGTGACTACTAAAATCTTTTAAAAATTAAATCTTACCAATAAACAGAGAAAAGCAAATTTAACATTTTCTCCTCCCATTAAATTGCTAAAGATTTTCAAAGTAAAAATACTCAGTAGTGTTGAAGGTATAGAGACACAGGCACTCTTTTTTTTTTTTTTTTTTTTTTTTCCTTTGCGGGGGGAAGCTTCAGAAGTTTTCAGAAAAGTGATTAGGCGATAACTGCGCAGATTCCTTCAGCAAGAGTACTCCTGAGTCCCCGATGTGTGCCCAGTATAGCTCAGCGTGCGGGATCCAGCCCCGAACAAAGTCAGCCGAAGTCCCCGTCCTGTGTCCTAGTGGGGACGACAGACAATCAGCGTGACATAATCTGTTGTGTATTCTGTAGTGATAAGTGCTAAGGAGAAAAATAAAGCAGGAAAGAGAAATGTGGAGTATTGGAGGGGGGAAGGTTCACATTTTTAAGGTGAAGGGGCCGAGAAGGGACTCATTAAGGTGATGCTTGAATAGAGAGCTGAGGGAGATGAGATTACTTTTTAGAAATCCTTCCTAAGGGAAGAGGGACTCAGACAAAGAACTACATACAGAGATGCTAACTGTCATTCATAATAGCAAAAATGCAGGGAAATATAAATATCCAACAGTAGGGTAATTATTGGTACATCCCGAACAGGGACTATCTGTATAGCCATTTAAAATGGCAATTCAGGAATACTTAAATGATGTGGATAATTTTCATAATAAGGTGAAAGAGCAAGCAGTATGCAAAATCGTATATGCAGCGTAAGCAGTGATCTCAATTTTATAACATGAATGTGTGTGCACACGTGCGTGCATGTGTACACGTAGGAAAAAACTGGAAATAAATTCATCAAAACAGTGGTTATCGCTTGATGGCAAAATTATATATTATTTAAAATCCCTATAATGAACATGTATTCTTTTACACATTAATGTTAGTTTTTTAAAATCAGCAATGATCCTTTGACTCACCTCTTAAAGGAGGCAACATGAAAAATTCTATAAAGTCCTTTACTTCAGTCAATAAATTTATTGCCCGCCTACTGTATAGTAAATACAGAGCCCGCTCCGACATCTAGAGTTAGTCTCCATCCCCAAGCAACTCAAAGTCAGGGGAGGAAAGAGACCTAAAGGCAATTTCTCTCCACCATTATAGGTGTCTCACTTAGATGTAGAGTAAACTCTGGGTACCATGCGAACGTGGACAGATACCTGAGACTAGGGAGATAAGGGAAAGACATTGCATGTGGCAGAACAAAAAGGGGAAGGTAGATAGTAAGGAAAGAAAAGCAGGTTTAGGAAGAAGGTAACTGATTCAGTTATGGACATACTGAATCAAAACTGCCTATCGGAGATCTAAGGGGAGATGTCCATCACCCAGTGGCATACAGGGACCTAGATCTTAGGAAAGGCGAGTGAGCTGGGATAGAGATTTGTGGATCATCAATGGATGATTAGATGTTCTGGGAAGATCTCCCAGGCATCATATGTAAAGTGAGGCATGAAGTGAGCCAAGGACAAAACTGGACACCACCAGGAAATAAAAGAGAGGGTGCCTGATGGTGACAACTTGCTGAGAAGGAGTCAGGAAGAAAACAAGTGCCAGTAGAGGAAGAAAGAAAAGAAATCTCAATCCAAGGTTAATCCATGAAGCTTGCCTAAGTTGCTCTTTACTAATAGCTTATACCGTTGAGAATTGTTATTTACTCCCTAGGGAACTCAGATATATTTACGAAATTATTGGTACAGTGGATGCTTTACCAGTGTGTTCTCTATGGATGTAAAAATGCACGCTTAACAGAAACCGAGTGCTCCAAATGACAGGTGGCTTAGTTAACATAGAAGCACGGGTCGCTTCATGTAGCTCTGGTTAATTTGTTTTCATGTGCTACACAGTATTTATGGCTACATTATCATTTGCTTTTTCGTTCTTCTGCTGATGGACATTTCGGTGCCATGCACATCACACGTGTCTCAGCGCACCTGAGCACAAGTATCTCTAGGACAGCAGTTTTCAGAATATGGTTCACAGACCCCTAGGGGGTCCCAAGGCCTTTTAAGGGAGCCTGAGAGATCAAAACTGTCTTCATAATAACACTAAGACATAATTTGTCCTTTCTGTTGACACTCGCACTGGTAGTGCAAAAGCAACTGTGGGTAAATCTACCAAGTGTGAACCCAGGCACAGGCCCCAGACCACCAGTGACCGTGTTCTTCACTCCAAGCCCCTGTCATAAAAACAAACAACACTTGTGTTACTTTATAGCCTTGATAAAACAGAAGTATTAACTTTATTCAAAAATAAATTGATCCTTGAGTCCACATCTTTCAATATTCTTAAAATTCCGTGTGACAGAATGGGAAGGGTGCATAAAGCGGTCTACTTCATGCCAAAGCACAAAGGTTGCCCTGAAGACAAGCATCTGTGTGATCGCAAGATTTGAACTAGAAGGAATTTTTCTATTTCATCTATATTTTACAATTTAAATAACTCTTTTTTAACTTTTGCAAAGGGATAGTGCTTCCTCCTTGTCATCCTTGATGGCGGTTATTTGTGCCTTCTCTTGTTTTCATGATCCGTGTTCCCAGAGGTCTGTCAGTTTTAGTAGCTCTCCCAAAGAACCAATTGTGGCTTCGTTAATTCTTTGTTTTTTCTTTTTCTATATTTATTTGTTTCTTTGACTTCAATTTTTTTAATCTTTATTATTTCCTTCTTTCTACTTTTATTTTTTGCTGCTTCTTTTTAATTTCTCGATATGGATGCCTAGTTCATTAATTTCTTTTCTATTATTTTAACATTTCCCTCCGAGTACTACTTTATCTGCATCCCAGAGTTTTAATAAATAGTATTTTCATTAATCATTCAAATTTAGAATGTTTTCTAATATGATATGCTTTCTTCTTAGATCAATAAGGTATTCAGAGTATATTTAACATGAAAGAATTTTCTGGGTTACATTTCATATTAATTTCTAATTGTGGTCAGAGAACCTGCCATATAATTTCAATCCTTCAAAGTGTTTGAAAGTTCATAATAACAATGTAGTCATCATACAGTTTTGTAGTCCACCTTTTATACTTGGTAACTTTGTTACTTTGGCGTTTATTTTAATTGTTCAGTTTGCTGCAAATCTTAAATGAAAGTAAATTTGCCTAAATTCAAAATGACTGACTTTTTAAATCTGCCAACATAAAACAGTATACAAAAGTTAACCCGCAGAAAGGCACTTGACTTTCCTTTGGCCTGAAGTAACTACACCATTGCTTTCAGTCCAACGTTGTAGAAATAGACCACATGTCAGTTTGCTCAGACAGATCTTTCTTATTTTATATTTATATTAATTTATATTACTGTAGCCAGGGTCAGCCACATTTTTATTAAACTTGAAAGTAAAGCCCATTTGCAGTGAGAAAACTGAATAAAAATCAACTGTTTCTTGGGTTTTTTTCCAGGCCCGCGGTATGAAGAAACAGGTCATTGATGACTTCATCACCCAAAACAAGTATCTGTTGGCAGCCAGGCTCACCAGCCAGAAGTTGTTCCATGAACTCTGCCCCGTGAAACGGTCTCACCGACAGAGGAAGTAAGGGCTCAAGGCTTTTCTTCTGCTTGTTGCTGCAATAGAGGGGCCATGTCACATTTTACTCAGGACAATTAAACATCTACTCCGTGACAGTCAGAATTTATTCTGTATGTAACAGATATTGACTGATGACTATTATAGTAGTGGGGTGTATTAATCCAGGGTCTCTTAGGGCCAAACTACTGGATGTGCCAGTCTCGCCTAGGCGTCAGAGAAGATCTCCCTAAGGTCTAACACTTTAGCTGAGACCTGAAGAATGAGCAGACTTTAGCCAGGTGTCAGGGAGAGATGGCTACTTTAAAGATGCACAGAGTATGAGACAGTTACTATTCCAACTAGAACATTCCCCGCAGGGTAAGTCTTTACAGGTCTTGGAGGGGGTCTTGGAGAAAAGCCAGGGTAACGACTTAACAGTAGGGAAGTGTAGGATACCGAGGAATGTTAAAATAATTAGTTTGGTCTATGACCATGCTACCCTCAACAAGCCCAGTCCCGTCTGATCTTGGAAGCCAAGCAGGGTCAGGCCTGGTTAGTTCTTGGATAGGAGACCACCTAGGAAGACCAGGTGCTGTAGGCATAAAAAATTAATAAATAAGGGATTGTAAGCTGACAAGGTCCTTGCAATCTGTGAGGTCAACCAAGGGTTGCCTCGCCAAAAAAATAAAAATAAATAAAATAATTAGCCTGGAATAGGAAGGCCAAGGCATACTTAATCATACAGAGTATCTAAAAAGTCTGGAATAAAGGGAAAAAGTCTGTTATACCTTTTTAAGATTAATGAATCAGTGGCTTTAAATTTAGGGGGGCTGTTTCACCTGCAAAAGGTATCTAGATATGGAAAGAAAAGATATTGGTTATATTTAATATTTTTAAATTTCCCTATATTTCTAGACTTTTCAGATTCCTTTATAGGCTAAGAAAGATGAAATAATTTATTAGATGAAAAGAAGAATATCCTGGACTTCAAGGATTGTTATTTACACAGCCTTCAAAAAATATCCCAAATCCACATCCTTTAGCTTTTTTACCACTGCCGGCCTGGAGCAGGCCACCGTCATCCCGCGTCGGGACCACCCCGTTAGCCTTCTTACCGGTGTCTGCTTCCGTTCCGTTCTCATACCTTCCCGTCAGTTCTCCACACATCAGCCAGGACCTTTCTAAAACCGTGAATTGTGTCAAGTCACTCTCCATCCTGGGGTCTTTGCCCTCGCAGTTCTGTCTGCCTAAAGTGCTCCGACCCTTTTGGCACATTTCATTCAAGGCTCTGCTCAAACTTTTACCTTCTCAGGTGAGCAACCTGTCTGATGGAGTATGACTCCCGCCCCACCGAGGACTCTCTCTCCTTCTCTTTATTTCTTCATGACACTTGTCACTATTTGTCATGCTCTATTTATTTATTAGCTGCGTTCCCCACTGGAAGATAAGCTCTACAAGGGTGAAAACATTGTCTGTCTTACCCGGCATATAGTAAGTGCTCAATAAATATTTGGGTGCGTGAGTGAACGAGTGATTAGCTAAACTTTCCATTGGAACCATTGCAAAGGAGCCCTCAGCATGAGGCTCAGTGGCCTCTGGCCTGCAAGAAAGTCGACCAGCCCTGCCCGTGCCGGGAGAACTAGAACACATGGCTTCTGAAAGGCCCTTCTGCACCAAGGATTCAGTGATCATTGCCTTAAACGAAATTCCTAAGTGTGGTAAAGTTCGGTTTGGGAAAAACACCACCAGTCTGGGAGAGAAGCGAGTCATTAGCGACTTGCACATCTTGTCTCACTGGACGTTGAACATAAGTTCTCAGCAGTGAAGCGTATTCGCGTCTCCAAGCTGGTTGCCGCCCCTTCCTCACCTCCACTTGCCATTGCAGGTTCTCATCATGGGCTTATAAGTCTTCTCTTCTGTTGCGGTGCAGGTACTGTGTGGTTTTACTGACTGCCGAGGCCACCAGGTTGAGTAAGCCCTTCGAGGCCTTCCTGTCCTTTGCCCTGGCAAACACACAAGACACAGTGAGGTTCGTGCACGTCTATAGCAACCGGCAGCGGGAGTTTGCCAACACTTTACTTCCAGACAGTGACACATTTCAAGGAAAGTCAGCGGTGAGTCATGTTTTGCTCCCGATCCCAAGCTCTTCACAGCACACGGCACTTGACTCCATTTCCTCCTTCCTCGGGAGATTTGAATACAGATTCCAGGAAATCCAGAAATCTCTGAAAGCCTGCTCTTAAAACAGTCTTTCACCGTGGCGATTTTACCTCTTAGATTTTCAGCCTTGGGCTTTCCCAGGAAATACCTTTCCTCTGACTAAGGATGAAGGAACGTCAGTCCTCTGCACCGCTTCTCCCCACGGCAGGTCTAGTCTTGCAGCATCTGGTTTGCAGAGTCTTCCTCAGGCGACCGGTCATGTGCTTGTGAAGTTTCTCCCTCCTTCACGTCTGCCTCCCTCACGTCATCCTGATTGAGCCCTCCTTCCCCCCCTCCTTCTGTCATCACTCTCTACAGCATGAAATTCTTCTCCATTTCATCATTTTGGTAATTGTGGAAAATCTCTCTGAGAAACAAAGGCTTCTTTATTATAAAATTGAGTCAGAGGTTGTAGAACAAAGTTTATTGAGAAAAAAAGACCTTTATCTTTTAACAGAAGCTTTGGAAATTCATTAAAAATTTGTCAGAAAAATTTAAATTTCTTACGGATGCTTTACGCTCATCCACATTTGTGTTTGAGCGTATTGCTAACTTCACTAGACCCTTTTCTCCATCCTCCCTGAAAAGAAACCAAACAGCAGTTGAACTTACCTTTCTTTTGCGACTTCTCAGGGATTTCTCTCCTTTTCTCCCAGGTGTCTATCTTAGAAAGGCGCAACACAGCCGGCAGGGTGGTATATAAAACCCTGGAGGAGCCCTGGGCAGGGAGCGAGAATGATAAATTCACGCTTTTGGGTTATCTCGACCAGCTGCGGAGAGACCCAGCTCTTCTGTCCTCGGAAGCTGTGCTCCCCGACTTGACCGATGAACTTGCCCCCGTAAGCATGTGGCCCAGGAGAGTGGGCACCGGGCAGGGCTGGTGGGCTCCCAGGGCCCGAGCAGCGCTTCAGCAGCAGTGCTGTGCTGGGGGCGAGGACTTCACCGGGGCTCAGGGATCCCATCCTGACTGTCATCCACTTTCTCGATAGATTTTTCTCCTTCGGTGGCTCTACTCCGCTTCTGACTACATCTCGGACGGCTGGGACAGCGTGTTTCACAGCAACTGGTAGGAATATTGCTGGATCGAATTTCTCTAGCAATTAGTAGCAGGACCGCTTTTGTCTCTCGAAAAGAGTCTTCTTCAATCTGAGCGTGTACTCCATGTGGGCAGGTGGAAGAACGTTTACACATTTTCAACAACTGCTGCCCGTTTTTCTTTCTGTAACTTCACCTTATTTATATTTGCTGATCGACCCTTTCCTGCTGGTTGGGAAAGAAAGGATCACTCCGACTGTCCTTCTAGGCAGCGGAGTCTGGGACTGTCCTCTTCATCGGGGCCCGACACACATGGAGTCCGGTGTGTGGATGTGCAAGCCAATCAATGCATTACAAAGAAGGGAGGGGTGCCCGACTCCTACCCCCATAAGACGTGGGCTCCTGAAGGGCAGAAGCACGTCTCAGTCATGTTTATGGTTCCTGGTGCTCAGCATAGCTCCTGATCAATGACGGGCCTTTCATCAGTGTTTGTGGGTGCATAAAACTGTAGAGTGCCAGTCCTAGGGGAAATTGCGAAAGGTCAACTTTTTCTTCCTACTCCACCCCTCTGAGCCACGTCTGAATTCTTCTGGCCAGGAAAAAAAAATCAAAATAAAGGAAATAATTGCATAGACTTCTTAGTCACTGTTAATACCCTCAGCATCAGAACATTCTCCCATGTTCCCAGTTAAATCTTTTGTTATCCGTCTTACTGTTTCCTTCTGCGGGACATAGTAAGCGTGGCCTGTGATACTGAGACACCAAATTAAACGTTTAGAATAAACTATCTATGAATTACAGCAGTGAGGGGGACACCTCTGCTTTCCCCACCACCACCCCTCCAAAAAACCTCTATCTGTATGAAATTAGACAATGTTTATTGTTATGCAAGCTTTTTGGTTCGGGGTCGTTTGGGGGTTTGTTTTTTGAGTTGGAGAGAGGTGACCTACAGTTACTCGCTGACGTGCGGCAGCAGCCCCTGTGGCGCTGAGCCGTCTGTAAGCCATGAACCTCGTTTCAGGCGGGAAATGATGCCTCTCCTGTCGCTGCTCTTCTCCGCCCTCTTCATCCTCTTCGGCACCGTCATGGTTCAGGCTTTCAGGTAAACGCCTGCGGGGCTTCTCGGCGCTTCCTCAAGGGAGAGCCCCACACCTCCTAGTTGTCGGTCCTCTTTTTTTCTTGTAAAATTCTTTTTTTCTCACTTCAGTGACTCAAATGATGAGCGAGAGTCCAGCCCTCCAGATAAAGAGGAAACCCAGGAGAAGGCCGGGAAGACCGAGCCCAGCTTCGCCAGAGAAAACAGCAGGTTTCTCTCACAAAACAGCAGCCCTTCCCCTGAGCAGCAGCCCCGCAGACGGTGTGGTCTCGTAGCGCAGTGTCGGGACATGTGGTAGATAGAAGAACTCTGGTCCGCCGCCTGGTGCGTGAGGTGTGGGTCTAGGGGAGGGTCACCGCTCGTCTCGTTTACTGAGACCCTGAAGGCATTGAGACGCCGGGTCTCCCTCTGCTCCGTCTCATCGGCTTCTGAGTCTCAGACTTAATACTGACGGCAGGAGGCAAAGAAGCGTGTCAGAGATGCTAGATGAGCCAGAAGCAGAGAACAGAACTTCACCAGAACTGCCCATGACCTTCATCAGCATTTTCCAGCTGAACGGCAGCATCTGAGAGGCTCTTCGTAGCCCCAGGATCGCCAAGTAGGGACCATCCCGGTCCTGCCAATGTGTCAGGCTCGAGAATATTAAATACCATATCTCATCGGGTTAGAACATAGCATTTTCTGCTGCTTGTTCCTTGTAATAGTAGTGGCATTCTCCTATCCTGATAACATCTTCACTTCTCGATATTTCTCCACAGCAAGTTTCCCAAAAAAGGCTTTGTGGAGGTAACCGAACTCACAGATGTAACGTACACCAGCAACTTGGTACGCCTGAGGCCAGGCCACATGAATGTCGTCCTCATCCTGTCGAATTCCACCAAGACCAGCCTGCTACAGAAGTTCGCTTTGGAGGTCTACACATTCACCGGGTAGGCTGGGTGTGGGCGAGAGAGGGGTAGAGAAAGGGCCAGAGCATGCGCGTTTGCAAAGGAGAGGACTAGAGAATCCATCCTTTCCTCTTTGACCACGAGGGGCTTTCATCTGTGCAGCAGACGTTGGCTGTGACCTTTCTAACCCAGGAGGCTGTGCCATCATGAGGGGACCTTTTCTCCCTGCTTGACTTCATGTCCTGTTGGTGCTTCTTCCCTGAGCCCTTTCAGAAAACTATTCTGTAGCCCTCGCTATTGTCCTGTAGCTGGATCCCGAGAGTGACGTAAGTGACACCCAGCGGGGGACCGGGGAACGGATGAGTGGAGCATTGCTGCTGTCCTAGCAGGCCTCCAGCTGCCACAGAAATCCTCCCGTTTTCTGTATTCTGGCCCCATCTGACCTGAAGCCTTTTCCTGTAATTTGAAGTCTGGCTGAGGTATTCTTGTTCCCATATTTGAAATGTGTCAGGAAATACTCTAAATCCTCATTCTCTTCTTCCTACAGGAGCAGCTGCCTACACTTCTCCTTCCTGAGTCTAGATAAACACAGAGAATGGCTTGAATACTTATTAGAATTCGCTCAAGATGCAGCCCCGATCCCAAACCAGTATGACAAGCATTTCATGGAACGTGACTATACTGGTTATGTACTGGCTCTGAATGGCCACAAGAAATACTTCTGCCTCTTTAAGCCCCAAAAAACAGTGGAAGAAGAGGAGGCCATGGGGGCATGCGGTGGTCTTGACTCTCCCCTCCATCTGGGTGACTCTCGGGGGAAATCTTCCTGTGGCCTTGGATCCAGGCCCATCAAAGGGAAATTGAGCAAGTTGTCCTTGTGGATGGAACGCCTGTTGGAAGGCTCCTTGCAGAGGTTTTATATTCCCTCTTGGCCTGAGCTAGACTGAGAGGATTTCAAAGAGAGACTTGAACTCTTCAGACTTTTTAGCAGGCCCCTGCAAACAGGTATTTTCAGGACTCAAACAATCACAGCGGACAGTATAGATTTTAGATTATTCTTCTAGAACAGTGGCTAGAAGAATCTTTCTTTTGTCCTGTTCTAACCTAGGAGCGAAAAACACAAGTCGACTTCCGTAGATCAAAATATTTCCTTTGGGTTTTTTCCCTCGTTTGAATGCCACACTATCTACAGCAGACTGCTCGTCCCTCCTCCTTTGTCATGCCCGTCACGCGCTCACAGCACCCTCCCCTGTCCTGTCCCTGCTAGTGGGGAAGCGCAGATGCTCACCCCACAGCGGGACCTGGATGGAATCTCACGAGCCTGGTGTGCTGGCCGCTGGTTGGGTCATTTTCCCTTCCTCCCCGTCCCGGCCCCGCTGGGCTTCTGCCACAGTGCACGCTGTCAGAGTGGAACGACCCGCAGCAGCTCTCTAGGCCCTGCGTCTGGAAAGAGGCCTCGTTCCAAGCAGTCTTACCTTTGATGGTTTTTCAGGTAGTAAGTGGCTAACGTCGACTTTGGGGGTATCCCCCTTCAGCAGTTTGTCAGCCATTTTTACAAGGTTTTACAAGGATAGAGATGGGTGGAATAGACTGCGTGTGAGTTGGGTGTTCTTCCTAAGGCAAGACAAGGGAGGGCTGGGCGGTGATTGAAGTGACCCCTTTGTGAGCGCCCCACCAGCCGCCTCCCCAGCTCTAAGCGTAGCCAGGAGGAACATGCACTGTAATGTACTGTAATGACTTGAGCCATTTACGTGTATGTTTTCAGATGCCTTTCTCCCTCTGTCAGTTTTAGGGTATGAATATTAGGAGCCACGACTTTAACCTTGTTCTCTGAACGTAGAGATAAGCTGCTATAAGCCGGTAGATGGTAAACTGAAGACGCGTTCTCCCACCTGCCGAGTCAGGCGCGGGGAACCTCTTCACTCCCGTGGTGTCTCTTTAGTAAAATACCAGACGTGTCTTTGTATCAAGGAACCTGACATTTCTCAACAATTGTATTTTGAACACTGTTACCCCAAAAGTGCTGTATCTTCATATCCTCTTTTGTGACAAGTGAACCAAGACTGGTTCTAGACTCCTGTTTTGCAAAGTCTTACTTTGAGCTTCTGGCCTACATTTGACGTCTCCTCTTAACTGTTTCACTCTTAACATACAGCTGCTTCACCAGTAACAGGGTCAGACGTGTCATCAGCTTGCTGAGCCACAGCGTGCGGTGGACTCCAGGCTGGATCATACTGGCCAGTTAGAGAACTTACCTTTTCTTTTTCAGAGCAAAACCACCAGTGGAGTTAGGACAGCCTCGGCGAGTTCTCTGGTCAGATATCAAAGGCACTTTGTAACGTGAAGGGTCAGAATCCGTGATGGAACAAAAGAAGTTATTATTTTCTTTAAACATCATTGTTTTAAACCAAGCCATTTGGATCCTGAACAATTTAAATATTGAGCTCCAGTGGCAAGTGATAAATTATTCAAGCCCAGGAATTCTTATAGTTTTCATGGAATCCGTAGTTTTATGAAAAAAATAAAATCACCACCAGGCTTCATTTTTCCACTTGATCCTCTAAAAGTGGACGCTTACTCCGATCGCCACATCTCATGGCCCCTGGGCCAGGTAGAAATGATCACAGTCCACAAAATAAAACTTTCTGGGTCTCTTATGGCCAGGTTGCTTATATGAGTATGTTTTGGTTTGGTGGTAGGTTTTTTTAATTTCCAGTACTAATGGGATTCTTGACCTTAATTTCTGAAAACCAAAAACTCAACCAGATTTGTTAATTTAAAATTTTTTATTAAAATAAAAAGCACCTTCAGACAGCTGTACCTTCCATTCATACTAAGAAAGCAAAATGATAATAGGATTGAAAACATTCCCGGCAGATATTTCGGTCAAAAAATTTTTCTGCAGGTCTCTTTGGGGGCTGGTAGATAGGTCTCCCAAGAGGACACTCGGGAGCTTTTATTTTAAAATGAACTTTACCCTTGACCACCCAAGGCTTTCCTCCTGAATGTTATGTCCATTAATTTGTTCACTTTCATGTCAGACCTTGGAGCCGTTGTCGTGCTCAGCCAGTGCCACCATTTCTCTCGCCGAGGTGTATAATCACAGGCCTAATTTTAGTTTGAAGTTAAGTTCCTAGCCTTTATGGCCTTTGACTCTCTCTCCTAAACCAGCTAACCCTCCCCCCCTCCGCCCACTTTATTATGTATCTTGAAACTGTGGACATCGATGATTTTAGAGTTAGGTTTTACCGGTTGGTAGAGACTATGCATCATGTTTAGAAGGGGATGAAAACTGGCCTAAAAAAAAAAAAAAAAAAAAAACTTTGTAGAATACATGCCTATTTAAAAAATATATTTTTATTGCCAAGGTGTCAGTTGCACAATTTGTCTAACATAGAGGTCAGCAACCCCAGTTAAGCAATCTCAACGAGCAAGCCTGCCCCAACGGCCATTAGGCACCATGGTCTCACTGCCGTCACTTACTGACCATGAAAATTTGGTTGTAGTTTTCACATAATAGGTTGATAGCCTTCCCCATTCAGTACATAAATGTTTTCCTGGTATAAAGAGAAATGGGATCTGATTTGTGTTTTAAGCGATTTGCTTTGTTTGGGAAATGGGATTAGAAGCAAACACTTGAACTTTTTTTAAAGCAAAATTCTTTAAAAGCTGATGCAAAACATTTTAACTGAACTGTTGCTTACATCCAAATACTTGCCATTGTCCCCTGGAAACCAACGCAGTGTGACAGCTGCTGAATCTATCTGTTCAGTTTGTCAAGAAGAATAATTGTACTTTCGAGACAGATCTGAAAAGGTGAATATTTTGCACTTTTGATACTCTTAGGAACAAATAACTTATTTGGCAAATGGTGTCTTTTTTATGTTGTTTTTGTTTTGTGTTGTGAACAGGCACTGAAGCTGATGTTATTTTTGTTTTAAGAACATTACCGACTGGAAACAGAAATAAACTATTTTAATGTGTGATGATTACGGGTAGCTCCTGCATTGCGAAATGATTTGATCCTGAATTTGCGTGGAAGTCAGCACATGCTTAAGATGAGCACGTCCGAAGTGCAGATTTCAGAAACTGCTGTCATGAGGGGGTGTGGACTCGAAGCGTAGACAATGCAGAACTGAGACTTGCAGGCAGCGGGTTAAGGGAATGTCATTCAAGGCTCTTTGAAGGCCAGCTGGTCTCATCCCGCTTAGGAGACGTTTCCTGTACCTCCTGGGTTTTCAAGTGGGAAGTTTATTAGGATCTGTGCGTTCATTTCTTTCAATTTCGTTTACGTTCACGATGGTCCTAAAACCAAGGTGCAGCCCCGAGCTCCTCAGAGGAGGCACTGTATTTTAAAGGAAAATACTACAGAAATGTTGAAGGTTTATATAGTATTATTTCATAGTCATTCTTTTTTTCATTCCTCTAATTTTTAGATAACCTTGAACTAAATTCTTCATCCCCTTCCCCTTTATCCTCCATCATCTTTCATTAAAGGAAAAAGATCAGTGCAGCACAAGTGCTTTTTTTTTAAGTTAATTCAAACTCCTCAGAAATAGCTGTTTGGGTTAGACATCTACTGAATGCCCTGATTTTACAGCCATCGGTGACACTTCCAACAGAAAGTTTTATTGGCATAAATTCTTCGAGGACTCAGACTGCTTGCTCATAAATCCTTCTTGAGAATTTGTCATTGATGCAATCTGACGTTTTACCTTGAAAAGCACAAGGTTCAAATGACTGTCACTTTAGGGAGAGCGCACAGCATCTCGAACAGCAGGTTAGCTGCCAGGAGGGCCGTGTTTCCTACAAAGAAGTGAAACCCAGCAGTGAAGACCCAAAGTCCCGCCTCCCAATGACCCACATCCTTCTTCTTCCCCGTGTGCTTCCTTCCTAGGGACCTGTCTATCCTGCTCTTCCT